GCGAGTGGGCATTTGAATCCACTACACATCTGTGGTGGGATTGCCCAGCTTCAAGCAGGATATGGAAGTGGCGGACAAGGTTCTGGGAAAGATGTACGGAAGGAGCCTTCCCCTGGACAAAGGAATGGACTTTGCTGGGAGGCGTGCATGAAGGAAGCAGTATTAGTTCGGGGTGGGGCTACGTGGCACAAACAGCCCGGCGTGCTGTTGCTTGCGCAGTCATTTGGCAAGAGAGAAATGATAGGGTGTTCGGAGATAAGGAATGGACGAACAAGCAAGCCAGATTGACGTTCACCCAGTTGTTGAGACGGTCGATTCTGGCAGATTGGAGAAGGAAAGTGAGTAAAGCAAAGAACAAGGAAGCAGGCAGCAGATGGTTTGAAAAACACATGGGGAAAAGGGAAGATGTTGGTAAGAGTGGAGGCAGGAAAGGTGATTTTTTTTTTTTTTTTTTTTTTTTTTTTTATAAAGGAAAGCTGATCTTCGATGAATGGTTCTATAAGTAGGAGGAACAATTCGTAAAATAGGACTAGGATACAAAACCAGGAAACTCGGTTGGCGGGCGCTTGTTGGGTCGTAGGAGACAGGCAGAGGGAGAAAGAGGAGTGGAAGGAGTCAAGAGTTAACATCCGCCGCATTAGGTGGACAGGGGGAAATGAACTCCCTGACTTGAAGTATTCTAAGCCTTTTTTTTTCTGATGAATTTCTTAATGTGTCTGTTATGGGACGCTGGGCCCGGTTCCCAGTTGGTGCCTAACAAAAAAAAAAAAAAAAGGATAGATAGGAAGCATGAAAGATGGAAGTGGTTTGAGTACAAGGTTTCTTTTTAGGTAGCTGGTGATTGATTTTTTTTACTCTTTTTGGGTTGACATTTTTCGCTTTTAGGGCCTTGAAGGCAGATTTGTTTTACTGCACAGTGGAGAGGTTGTCCGGACAGAGGCCTGCCAGAGCCGGACCTGTTCCTAGTATTATGTTCCTCTCACTGTAGCTTAAGCTAAGCTGGCTGATGCTGTCGGTACCTTTTTCTCCGGGTAGAATTGTGGGACCCCAGCCCGATTTATAATTTCAAATGGATAATAAAGATGTTCTTTTTTTGTAAAATAAAATAAAATAAAATAAAATAAAAATCAGGCTCAGGACATTGAAAAAGCAATCCCGGAGTTGTGCGAAGCTAGTAAGAACTGGCTAGGGGGGAAGGTATGGATGAAGGGTGGCTGTCATTGGCACGTGACGGCTGGGGGTGTGGGGTGCAGCAATCTCCAGCAGGAGCTGCATACGATTAGGTTCATCGAAGCCGGATTACACAATGTAGGGTATTAATCAACTTAATCTTTCAAGGTGTGGCTCGTCATCATAGGATAAAATCCTCCGGCAGCACAGACCTGGCCCTGCAGTTGCTGTTTATAGCATCTTCTGGTCGTGACCATTCAACGCAGCGTTGGTACTCTCGCCTTACTACTGCCCTCCCTCCAGTCTCTTCGTGCTAATGCGACTGCAGCTGCTGCCGCCATGGCCGCTGGTGATGCTATGTTCATGATGAGGAACATGTTGATGACTGGATCCCAGTAAAGAAAGAGACCTCCAGTTCGTCATACTGTACACCCTGTCAAATTTAAAATATGTACATATATACAGGGTTGCCAACGTTCAGGCCAGGCCGAACGCCCGAACGTTCGGCAACCCCTCTCGACGCGTTCGGCCGAGAACGCGGACCCAAACAAACAACAACAAAAAAAAAAGCAAAAAAAAAAAATCTGAAAAACATGTGTTATGCAGAAGAGTAAACTATACAACATTTGCCTCAACTTTACATTCGAATTCTTTACCAAATTTGAAATAAAAATCAAATACTAAAAATAAAAAATAATAATGAAAATTAGAAAAACTAAAACGAGAATGAAATTATTGAGTGGGCGAGCATGTTTTTGACACCGCCGTCTTTGGCGATTTTTCATTCTTGTTTGGCTGTGACAAATGCCATGAAATTTGTATATGTGTATCTTACATAATAGAGAATCTACAAATAAAGTTTGAAAGCATATATTTTTTTCATGCCCCGAAAAAAAAAAAAAAAAAAAAAAAAAAAAAAAAAAAAAGTGAAAAGAGAGAAAAAAACAAATTAGTGTGTGGGCAAGCAAGTTTTGACGCCACCATCTTTGCCGATTTTTCATTTTGTTTTGGCTGCACAGAATGGCTTCAAAATTAAGAGGGAGATACCTTACATCACAAAGAACTCACCAGAACAAATTCAGGAAAAAATAATAATATTTAGGTCCTAAAATATTTTTTTGCAGGGTCCGAACCCCTTCAGATTCAGGCCCCGTACAGGGACCCGAACGCCCGAACGTTCGGGGGTCAGCTTAGGGGCCTCCGTATGTTCGGCCTGGCAACCCTGCATATATACATACATATATTATGCATTATATATATATCGTCAAATAGAACTGCCCGGTAAACCGTAGGCAGAGAGGGAGAAGAGGACAACAAACGAGGGGCTGTGACAGACTGTTTCGTCGGAGTTTCACCGACTCATCAGGAGGCTATATATATATATATATATATATATATATATATGAAACAGTTTGTCACAGCCCCTCGTTTGTTGTCCTTTTCTCTCTCCTTGCCAACGGTTTA